AGATCATTCACTTAGGTAGGGTCACCTCACAATAGACCATTGTATATTTAATTTCGAGGGTAGGTCGCCCTTTACAATAAGGCTACACATGACATGTTTAATTTTTCGAGATAGGTCGTCCTTTACAATAAGGTCATGCATTTGCACGTTTAAATTTTCTAGGGTAGGTTGCCCTTTACAACAATGTCATGTACTCGCATCTTTTATTTTTCATGTACTTTATACTTAATCTTTCATGAATCGCACATTTATTTTTTCAGGAAAAAAAAAGAAAGAATATCTTTACAAGCTCACTAGACAAATCTATTCTAAAGCTCACACTTCGGCTAAGATTTGCATCGTAAGCATTGTAAAGAGAGGCAACTGTCATAACCCAATTTTTTTCTTTAAAGGAAAAAAACAAAAAAAAAAACAAAAAAGGAAAAAAATATAAAATCTCTATAAAATCATTCAAAAATCTATTGAAATCTTTCATAAATCTTGTTTAATTAGAATCTCCTTATTTTTAGAGAGAAAAATCTCAAAATTAAGATTTGATAATTAAAATTTGAATTTGAATTGATTTTGGGAGAGATTTTAGGAGGTTTCAGCCTATAAAAAAGCTTTCGGATTTCAATTTGCCGGGGGGAGAAAAAAGAAAAAAAAACACAGAAGAGAAAAAAACACAAAGAAAAAATACCGAAAACCTAAAAAGAAAAAGCCAAACACGCCCTAACCCAATAACCATACCCAATTACTCGTTTACCCAGTCGAAACTTTTGAGCCTTAATTGATCGTTTTTCGATCAAATTTTGACCCCGATCAACACACCCATGTGTAGTCCATCACTAGATTGGTCCATCAACACCGGTTAGAGAAAGAAAAAATCACGAAAGAGAGAGAAATCGAAGATCAAACAACCACGACCCGACTTGAATAAATACCCGATCGTTTCTCTCAACTCCGATCACTAACACAAGATCTACCACCACGGACCCGATCGCCTATCTCCCCTAAGTATTTCCAATTAAAGGTCCCGACCCAACGACATCGGAAAACAATTTAATTAGACTCAACTCGTTTTTGACCCATTTTGATAAATCCGACAAAATTGGCCGATCTAGAAGGCGTTGAAGGTTCTAACCATCATAAACATCTTTCTCTCGATCTCTCGAGTCGAACGGTGGGCTTAGAATTTCGAGAGGAGGTCGGATTCATCATCGGTGAAGAAGGGAGATTCGACCGAACCTTTGGAGGCTCCGATCTCCCTCCTTCGACTTCGTCTCTAGATGAGGCCACCACCGCTAGACTCGTCGTGATCGGATCTACAAGGCGGGGTGGTCCATGCGCTTGAAAGGTCACCGGAAGGCAAACGGTCACTTGGCGGTGACTCTTGGCATTCTAAGGGCATTTTTGTAATTTTACAATATAGGTTAATTTTGGACTCGTTTGATTTATTTTATGTGTGTTGTAGCTTTTTTTTTACTATTATTTTACCTATGTATGTTAGAAAATTTGAAGATACATATTTGTGAAATTTATTTTAACATGAGATTTTTTTTCTTTTTTTTTCGATTAAAATATTGTATCAACGAGTCTCCTATTTATTAGGGACGGACGATGATTTCGATATACTTAATTTTTTGAAATTTTTTTTAGTTGATTTTAGTATATTAAAATTTTAAAGTTTAAATTTCTTTATAAAAAAATAAAAAAAATATTTTTTTGACGAAGACTCCTATCTAATAAGGACCGACATCACCAAAAATCTAAAATTCTCGACGAAGTCTCCTATCCGATTGGGACCGACGTCACAAAAAATCATTGTTTAAATTAAGATATCCTCTCGACACACCGATTGTGTTAAGGCTTAAAGTGGATCCGATGTTTGAATCAACGTATCGCTCGACGAAGGAGATCGACGATCGTTTCAATACGATGCCATACTCAAAACTAAAAAATTCAATTTGTGTAAAAAAAAAGAAGATTAAGAATCAGAAAATAATTTGACGTAAATAAAATATTTTAGGAGATAAATTTAGAGGTAAACCGGACGTGGTACCTTTTTTTGAAAAGGACGCTTTTGGGTGATCGATATCTTTCCAAAAGCGTAACCAACTTCTTACGATAGAATCTCCGAACCGATTGTCCGTTTTAGGTTCCTAGTTCCTTCAATACTAGGTGGCGACTCCAAACTCGTAAATAAGCTTGTAAATATTCAATCTAATTTTAGACATTTTTGATGAGTCTCGTCCTACATCGTGTAGGGACATGGGCTTTTAGCCTCAATCAACAAGCTTTTTATTTTTAATTATATAGGCTGAGCCATTGCCCACTAAGCTAGAATATATTACTTATTCCACTAAATTGATTTTAAAAAAAATAAAAAAATGCTAGCAATAGTACAAGTGAAAATTACTTGTAATTTGGATTGTTTATTTTGCTATATGCTTCTTGAACTTCATTTCACTAATTTGTAATTGGATTGTTTATTTCACTATTCTTGAAGTGAACTAGTGAAGGATTCTAGGTCGGCATTATTTAATCCTTTTAACTAGTACCGACTATGATAAATTTATTTTTTTAATTTTTAAAATGTCTTCTTTTCTAATCAATCGTTTTCATATTTTTTTCTTTTCTATTTCTTAAAACAAAAGGTAATTTAAAACAAATAGCCAAAAGGAAAAAACTATTAGTTTTTGAAACTAGATGGACTAATTAATTTATTTTCCTAAGAAAGAGGGACGAATTTATAATTTTCTCTTGAATAGCAATTTATTCGTCTCCTACAAAATAAGGGGAAAAAAAGAAGAAGCAATGAGAGTAGCATTAAATACTCGTTAGAAAAGAAAGTGAAATGGTGAAAAAAGGCTAAAAGAGCAATAAAAGAAAAAACAAAAGGAGTCAATTAAGGGTGAGTGTGAATTTTTACAAATCCACCAAGTGACAATGACTCGCAATTAAGAGTAAAAGAAAATTTCATTTATAATGTAAAAGAAAAAAAGAAAAAGAAAATGAGGAAAAAGGGCTAAAGAAGAAAATTAAAAAGAGAATCGATCAAAGCACAAGTGTGGATTTTCACAAATCCATCGAGCGGCGATTAAACTAATTAAGAGCAAAAAAGAAGGTGTTTTATATACAAAAAAAAAAAAAAGCTCAATGTATAATACAATTAGGTGAGAATGAACGAGTTTAGTAATAGAAAATCCATTACCTGTTTTAGTTTTTTTTCTTAATTTTTTTATTTTTATTTATTTATTCAATGAGAGTTGGACTTATGAGAAAAGGTCCACTGCTACATGTAAGCATATAGCGGGATCGGATCACGTTTCGATCTTGGGTTTAGGGTTATCTTGATTCGGAGTAAATTATAAATTAGTCCCTTTTGTTTAAAAAAACCAATTAATTAGTCCTTTTATTTTAAAAACTAATTAGTTAATCCTCATATTTTGAAATTTACATATAATTTAGTCATTTTTACTCTTTTTTAATTTATTTTGATTTTTTTAAGAAATAAAAGAAAAAAGAAAAAATGGAAATATTGATGAAAAAATAATTAAGACATTTTATGAAATAAAAGTATATTAAATTAAGTATGATTAATACCGATTAAAAGATTAGATAATAATTTTAAAATAAAAGGGACTAATTAATTTATTTATGAAAACTAGAGGGACTAATTTATAATTTACTCTCTTAATAGGCTCAATACCCGCACGTTGCCGCTGGTAAGTTTATTATATCTATATTTTAATATTTTAAATAATTTAAAAATAAAAATATAAAATAAAAATTAATTAACACTCATTGTAAAAAAATTGTGATATATATATATATATATATATATATATATATATATATATATATATATAATAGAATTTAAATATTTCTTAGGAATTAGAAAAAGGTGTTTAATCAATTTATATTAGAAGAATATTTAATTTTAGTTCGTGAATATTTATAAAAATATAAAAAGAAACTATTGATTATGAAAAAAACCTAGCGAGAAAAAAATTATAGGGACATTTTGATAATATTAATTAAAATTAGTAATTGTTTTATATAAAGTAATAAGTTAGAAGATCAAAGTATAAAATATTAAAAAATTGATAAAAAATCTCTTTGTTTTTTATTTTTAGAAAATGACAAGTTTTGAGTCTAAAAGACTCCAAACTTTAGTTTCATTATAGCAGTAACTTAGTTATAATGAAACAACATTCTGATTTAATATATGTTATAATTAGCTGGTGCTAAACTCCCTTCGCGTCAATGTTCCGGCGATTATAGGAAAAAGCACAAAACTCCTTCTGTCTGCGCAAAACTTGTTAGCATCAGTACTTTTTCGCTTGAATGTTATTAATTTCAGAGTCCAACGAAACAAAATAAATGAGTTAAAGCTCTTGCCAACAGAACATGCTGGGTTAAGTTTAACAACAATGGCGTCACTACAGTATCTACAAACAATGTTTTATGAATAGCTACGAGTAACTATGTTTTTTTTTAGATTGAACTTTAGGGCACACATAAATCGTTAAGCATGAAAACATTAGCGATAGTGATTAGTAGTTAGCGAGATCAGAAAAAAATGTATTATCATAATGGATTAAATTCATCATAGATTAAAAAAAACGAGACGTTATTTTGATCTTCTCTTCTATAATGAGATTTTTTTAAAATTAAATACTTTAAACAAAAGATTCGAACCCATAATTTTTTATAAATGCAAGAAATGTACTAGTATTAGACTAGAATTGCATCGATAATCGTTTCGAAGACTTACCTGTATTGAATAATTAATCGGTTACAAAGTATAAGATTCCTCGGAATGAGATTTTATTAGTTCATTTTAGACGGGCATATATGCTGGTTTGTAGTGAGCGCATGTGCACACCGTCGGCAGTATGGGTTAGTGCCACTTTTCCATTTGGAACGAAGATTCCTTTTTTGTTTTTTTCCGGTTAGTAAACTCTCGCATATCACATATAGGGCATATAGGCACAATTTAACAGACACAGGTAAAGATGTCAAAATCAGAGACAGATGCACCTCCTACGGTTGGTGGAGATGGCACTTGCAGCTATTACAAGAACTCCTACTACCAGGTATTGTCATAATTTGCTAATAAACTCTTGTCTTGGCTTTCCTCGTTTGCTAATGAACCCGTGTCTTGGCTTTCATCGTATCTCATTTACTTGTTAAACACTTCTAAAAATTTCAATTCATGATTAGAATGCTAAGGAAGTTTTGATGCAACTACCATGTATGATGTTTAATAAGTTTTGTCGTATATGGGGCCTTATAAGATTCATTTACTCGAATGAATGTGGTTCGAAAACAAATAAAAATTTACAGGATGAACATTATTGTAAAAGATGCAATGCCTTATCTTTGTCGTGGCAATGGTAACATCAATATGATACTGAGTTACTTGACTCATTTTTTTCAGAGAAGAAGTGCAAATGTAGTTAAAGAAAGAATTGATGAGGAGATTGCTAAGAAATTGGACTTCAAGAGCCTTCCAATTGCTTCAAACACATTTCGTCTTGCAGATTTAGGATGTTCAGTAGGACCAAACACCTTTCTCCATGTCCAAAATTTGCTAGAAGCTATCAAGCACAAATATGAAATGCAATTCCATACCTCCCAAATTCCAGAATTTCAAGTTTTCTTCAATGATCAACCAATGAATGATTTTAATACCCTCTTTAACAATCTCCCACAAGAAAGACAATACTTTGCAGCTGGTGTGCCAGGCTCATTCTACGATCGATTATTTCCTGAGTCCTTTCTCCACTTTGTGTACTGTTCTATTTCACTCCATTGGCTGTCTAAGCTGCCAGATCTTGTGTTAGACAAGAACTCCCCTGCATGGAATGGAGGAAGAATTCACTACACAAATGCACCAAATGAAGTTGTCAAAGCATATGCTTCACAATTTGCCATGGACATGGAGAACTTTCTGAAAGCAAGATCTAAAGAGCTTGTTCCTGGAGGGATGATGGTGATAATTTCACAGGGTATCCCTAACGGGATGCTTTATTCTGAACTCCAAAATGGCTTTATGTTTGAGTGTATGTCACTGAGCCTCATGGATATGGTGAAAGAGGTAACTAAGCTAATGAGTATTCAGATCTTATCTTTTAAGATTATGCATGCCCGTAAAATTTTACATTAACTTGATAAATGGCCAATCATTTTATCACAATTTTGCAGAGAATAGTCTCTGAAGCTCAAGTGGACTCCTTCAACCTGCCATTTTATGCTGCTTCTCCAGAGGAGATGAAAGAAATTGTGGAAAGAAATGGTTGTTTCAATATTGAGAAAATGGAATTGAATGACCCAGCAGCATGGCTGAAAGGACGGATTAATGTACCTGAATGGGTGGTGCATGTAAGAGCTGCAATGGAGGAATCATTCAGCAAACATTTTGGAGGAGAAGTCACGGATGAATTATTTGATCGCTTAACGAAAAAGCTTACCGAGTTCTCTGATAAGCTGGAGTTAAAATATAGGGAAAAAACTCTTCTTTTAGTTGTTTTAAGGCGTAAATGATTAATTAGAGGCAGATATGATGGATGGATTCTTCAGCACTGCCATCTGTAGGATGATTAATCATGTTCCTCTTCCCACCTCTGATTGAATTGATGACTGGAGTTTCCATGTTATGACAAAGTTTATAGACCAAAACCCAAATGATTAAATTCATTCATGTCACTAAACAAGAGTACAATTTCAAAACTAATCAATAAATAACTACAATGCTTTCCCCTTTTCAAGATGGCTTCTAGCCTTCTACCATGTCTTTGCTTTACACTGGAGGCATGAACCTTTGTTGCCAATGGGCATCAAAGAAGGTTGCAATTTGCAAAAGACTTGCAAAAACACTGAAAATTCTTACTAGTTGCTATAGAATATTGTAAATTCCGCTGGAAACTTTGTGATTTATTATAAGAATTTCCCAACATTTTTCAGTATTCATTTGCAACCATTCCTATTTAAAGCCAAGATCTTTGGTTTTACACAAATGTAGTGTAGAAAAACATAACTTTTAATGTTTTGCATATTTTAAAAGCTAATTAATTAAAAACTATTCTCAATTTTTGGTTAATAGAAAACTAGTTTCTAGTCTATCTTTATTTTGATTTAGGTCCATCCGATTAGTTTAATCACAAGTGTCACGTGACCATTCAATAAAATTGACACGTGTAGCGTTAGACAACTCCAAGCATGGATTTATTCCTGCGTGGCTTAAAATTAAAATCATAACGAAACAAAAATAAAATAAAACTATACCAATATCCAGATCATCTAAACCCTCTCTCTTCCTCGATCTCTACTCTCTCGTGGTGAGTGAAAATCACAAGACAAAGACCCCACATCAGAACATTTCTACCAGCACTTCAAACCGCCTTTGCCGTCATCACAGACCACCACCAAGCACCAACGTAAACCACCATCGCAAATGACAAATCAAAGAAGGGATGAGTGATACAAGTGGAGAAGAATTGGCTTTTGACTGGAAATGGTATTGCTGCTTGTGATTGTAGGTTATAATACATGAGACAATATTTGATAAAGGACACATAGGACAAGAGAGAAAGAAGGAGAAACACATTTATAGGTTGTTAAAGGTGACGTGGCTAGCTGTTATGAGTTTGTTTGTATTGCTGTTAGGAGTGTTTCTAATGATTAGTGTATTAAAGTGGGGCGAGAGAGAGCAATTTGGATTTGTCTTCTAGATTTCTAAACAATTATATTCTTCTCTTTGCATTCTTCTTTCTGCATTTTCTCTCTGATTTTTCATCTCTGCAACTCTCCTTGAGTTTTTCTTCTACTCTGTTTTACTTTTGATTGATTTAGTTCTTAATAAAGGTTTTCAATATTCAATCATTATAGAATCTACTATTTCTTTCTAATTCTTCAATTACAGAATATGAATTCGCATCAATTAGTGACAGAGCATTAATCTTGATACATGTGGAGAAATTGAAGAGAATTTAACAATCATGGCAAAAGGAAGTATAGAATTAAAGAAAATGAAGGAATCAATTGTTCATCTATCTAAGATAATTACTGAATTCTCTTATAGATGCAGCACTGTGTGTGAAATGTATGATAACGATATTGTAGAATTAAAAAAACTTAAAGAGTCTAGTAATGGAGGAGATGAATAATGATCACAACAATGGAAATAACACGGAAGGAGTTGGAAATTTGGATAGGGACAGTTTTAGAAGGCCAATGGGTATCATATGGGAAATGGTTATGAAAGAGGTAATTTTGAATATCTGATCAGTGTATAATTTCTATAATTTTTATTTATTTTTTTTTAGTAAAATTTCTAATACTTTATGTATTGTATTAAGCTAATTAAAAATAAGATAACGATTTTGAATTTTTAAAGAAAAAATGATAAATTAAAGTGAATAAATTCAAATTAAGACACATACAAACCCAAGCCCACGAAGGACTCAATGAAGACAACAAGCAAAGCCAAGTGGAAGGAAATAGACACATGGCCGTGTGTCTTGCATGAGGAAAAAACTACTAGTCGTGTGAATAATTTCAGTCAGGTTTTTTTCTTCAAAACCTTGAACCGAAATTGCTATTTTGGTTCGATTTTTTTTTATTTTTATCAAATTTTGCTCACTCTTATATGCACTTAAATCAAAATAAAAATAGATTAAAAATATTTTAAGAAATTAGTTTCTTCTTGATCCAGAGTCTAGGATAATTTTGAATTAATTTGTCTATTTCAAAATAAATTCTTTATCAAATGCCTATAAGGATGTCGTTTAAAAAATTTAAATATTAACGATAAAAAACTTATGACATGGTAATATATTTTTTAACTTTTGAAATCTTTGTATACAGTGTCAGATACGAAGTTATTTTTGTATACATAGAATAATATAATCCTTAGTTTGGTATTGATATCATTTTAAAGCATAATTACTTTTGGTTGCTATGTTTTTAAAGCATAGTAGTTCCTTTTGGTCTAAAAATACTAAAAGCATGTTCGATTAATACCGGTTTTACTTTGAAACCAAAGCAAATATTATTCTAACCAAAACTGTTTGCTTTGAAAATAAAGCAGCGTGCGTTTAATTTTTAACTAAAAGCATACCTGTTTATTTCGTAGTCTATTCTATTTTTAAATTAAAATGATAATTTTTTCCCCTTTTTTCTTTAAAAAAATTATACATATTAATTATGTTAGTGTTTTTATACATTTTATTTCAATATATATATTATTGATTTTATTGAATGATGTGTCTATATATTTTATCAGTTTTTGACTTCAGAATTATTTTCATAAAAATACGTTCATATGCTGTATAAGTGAAGTCATAAATAATTTAATAAAAATGAAATCTATTTGTTTAAATATTTTAATTACAATCTTTATCAATCATTAAATATATCAACATTCTAAATATTTTTATTATAAATTTTATTAGTTATTAAATATCTCAAAAGTATATTAATATAATTTAACGAAATACTGCTTTTACCATATCATCATCGAATAATACAACGCGGTAGGGCACGGTACAATATTCATAGCACAGGCACAGCACATCATGCAATGCCAAACAGGCCTCACATTTTTTTCATATGGAATGGGTCTATCAATTACAAGGCCCAAGTGACTGGTCCATTTGAGCTTCTTTCTTGCTGACCGACTGTATGGAATAATAACAAGTTGGACCTTAGCCCGAATGACTGGAAAGGCCAACCTAAACAATACTAATTTTGTTTATTAATCGTAGGTCCATAGTTCTTTTGATGCCTCAGCTAAGTTTTGAACCTCTCCTCTTGCCTCTTGCCTTGTAAACCAACATAAGCATGCAGTACGAGGGCACGACTCAACAAACTGAGCCTAACTAAGCCATTAGAGAAGAACGTAGATGGAGATGGTGAAAGATAAGGAACTCAAATATAGGAGATCCTGGCCCTAAAGCTTCTGTTTTTATTTTGTTTTTTGTTTTGTTTTTTTTAATGAATTAATGCGCTTATATATATTATACACAATCATTGGTCTTTGACGTGAGCACCTGACATCATACACTATAAAATAATTCTATGATTTATCATCAGGAGTACCTCCAAAAAAGAAATCTATTTGCTTACGTGCATGATCTACATATGACATATAAAAAAGCCCGTAATATTATATTCAGTTTGGTACTACACATTTACTCAGCATATAACCTTGTTTTTTTTTTTTTTCCCTCTCTTTTTTATAACTTTAGAAAAGATGATAGGAAAAACTCTTTTACTCCATGAACATCCAACATATATATGCTAGCTAGATAGGGTAAAGATCAGTTCAAGAAAAAAAGATAAAAACTAGATGGTGAACTAAATTAACCTGATAAAACTATAAGGAAACTCTCTAAATGTGTTTTGAAATATATCTGTTTAATTTTATTTCTTCTTACTTTTGGTTATATTTAATATTTTTATGGATAGACCAAAAAAAAAAATTAACAATGACAGAAAATTCTTTTACGTGGAAGAAAATATTATAAAAATACCTTTTTATATTTCAAATAATCTTAATATTTTAAAAATCACCTCCAATTGTAAGAAAATTTTAAAAATATTAAAATTATTTTGACACTAAACCAATTATTCTAATTATATCAAAAATTATATTCCGTTCTTTCATATAAAAATGAGATCCATTAATTATTTCCATGATAGATCCCACATATATGTAAGAAAAATAAATATATCTCCTCATATATGTAATGATTTCTCTTAAATGACCATTTTAATTAGCACAAAGCCGAATTGAAGAGAGGAGAAAGCAAAAGGAAGCCGCAGACGAAAATCGGTGCCTTAAGATTGTAAGGTCCATTAGGCCTTGACAATGCAATGAAATAGTCTCCCTTTATATACGTGTGTGTAATACAAAAATGAAAAATAAAACCTCCATTTCAATTAGTCCTTTCATCCTTATGCGAGTGGAATTTGATGTTTATGCGTCCAAAAGAACATGATTTTTAGTTATCTTCCTTGCATGATAATTTTATTGAATATATATATATATATATATACATACATACACAAAAGATAATGGCTCGAGAGGCCCAAATGAAGAGGTATAATTAAAGTCGGAAAAATAATCACCCGGGTAAAAATCTCCACAACTGACATTTGCCTGCACTGTACACATTTGCTCCCCTATAATTTAAGATCGGATTTTATTTTCCTTGTAAGCGTAGAATTGAATGTCAGAGAATTCTGATATTCTTGGTATGCGTCAAACTTCCGCTACCAAGTTCTTTCTGTGGTACGTATGCCTAGTGCTCAAGGGTCAATTTGAGTATTAATTTGATATGGTAGTCAAGTTTCTACAAGAAGACATTAAAAGTATTCGATTCTTATTTGAATTTTTTTTTATGGTAATTTATTATCATGTATGCAAATGAATTCCTTCATACATATGTACTTTCTTGTTTTTTTTTTTTTTTTTTTTATAAATTTTTTATTGCCAAAAGAATACTACGACGTATATATACCTCTCTCCCTTTTCTTTTTCTTTTCTTCAAATTGAGTTTTTCTATTTTAATATTTTCATATAATTTTATTCACCAATGTTTTTTAGCTTCTAATGAACTCTAATAATAATCATAATAAATAACATATGTTTTTAATATTAGGAAGAATTACATCTATACATGCACTCACATGAGTACTTTAATTGTTCAGATACGATTTTAAAAATATTCATGACCTCATGTTCTCTTATGAGTGTATGACTAGAACCTATTCTTACAAAATAGCATTAATTAAGAAGAAAATTTTTCCTTGTAATATGCATGTTTCCACTTGGATATTTGTCAATTAGGAAGACATAGTATATATATATATATGCATCTAGAGTTCCTGGTTCATGTGTGGCCATGAATGATCTCTTTCACCAAGTTGCGCAATTAATAAAATACTAGTGAATTTGGCGTAATATATATATAAATCATGATGGAAAAAAATTAGGTGGTGATAATCTTGTTTTTTTTTTTTTGATATGGTAATTTATGATCTTGAAACTTCTTTCAGAATCTTTGCATTATTTATGGAGAGTATATGTCAATTTAATAATAATAACAAAAAAAAAAAAATTAAAAGAGTGCAGGGACAAGTCTTGTTCTTCCCAGATCCTCAATTAAGTTTCAGGTTACGTATATATTCTTTTTCTTTACCATCCATTTAAACTTTAAAGGTGCTAAATTGCTATGCGTACTGACCCTACTCCTACACCTCTACCTAGCTATTTTAAAGGTTTTAATATTTCAATATATATATATATATAGACACACACACGACAATTCATAGCTGCTTTTATATGTCTCTTTCTGTCACAGTCAGCCCTGGACTGGTAATTAATTATTAATTAATCATCAAAACATGTTCGCTCATCAATTAATTGTGGTACCACTCTACGTGCATGTTAACCTCCTCCTCTTCTATATAAGGGCAACGATGCCAAAGGATACTTACTAATATAATCAAAACTTCAAGGCACACAAAACACAACCGACAATCTAGACGTCATGGCCGCAACAGTGGTAAGTGATTCAATCCTGAGGAACGATGCAGATGGCCCCGTCCCGGTGAACGGTGGATTAGGCACTGACAGCTATTACAACCACTCCTTTTTTCAGGTTTACTTCTTCAACTTCAGTACTCTACATCATCAGTGATTAATTGTCCTTAATAATTCATCGCCATGCACGCATGCTGAAAGCCTATTTTGTACAGTCTCTCAGCTTTTTTTCCTTTTAATAATCTTTTATGTATAGATGTTTTCATCTTCTGGAATCTAATTCAATAACTGGAATATTTGCACCAACATACCTAGCTAGTTCGGTTAATGTGGTTGAATTTCTTCTAAAGAGCACTTGGGTTTTTGGTCCTCTTTTTGTATTGAATATATATATATATATATATATATATATATATATGATGTTGTATATAAAATAAAAAATAAAAAAAGGAAAAGAAAAGGAAAACCTGCATAATATGCTACTAAATATATATATTTTTTATTGAATTTTTGTAAGGTTAACAAGAATTTAGTTTTATAGTATTCTTCCTGTGTTACAGAGAAAAATAGATAAAACTTTGGTTGAAGTTCAGCTTAAATATATATATATATATAATAATTTGTGGTTCTCACAAAACGCAAGGACAACGCGTTCTCATGTTTTGCATTATATGGCTTCAATCACAGTATGATAGCCAATGGTCAAACATGGAGGATGTTTGGTCCCCTCGCTAGTCAATAGGCAAGAGAATCTCGTTCAAACTCAAATGAAACAACTTGAAGAAGGATATGAAAAATAAAAATTTTATGAAAATTTTTATATGGTCCCTCGTATCTCTAGTTGGACTTACTTGGAGGGAGCCCTAATTTTTATCTCTTTCTGTCCTTGACCTTCTTTCTAAAAAAGTAAAGAAATACAAACGAGAACAAACTTTGAGCCAATTATAGATCTGTAGCTGACCAGCTAACCCTAGTCTAGATTCTTACAGGTTGTATGCATTTGATATATGAGTTGACTTTGGCTCAATATCTCAACTCACGTGGTTTCACATTTTTGTTAAAAAAAAAAGGGGAAGAAATCTTTCACCACCTTCTTTGGATGGATTCTCCTAGCTAGCTAGGGGAAAAACATATGAGTGTATGAGGGTAGGACTCGTGATGCAGAGCTTAGCATATGCTTTGTTTTGTTTTAGTTGCAAAATTAAAGCCTACTATACCTACATATATATAATTATTATCCCCTCCTCTCGGCCGGGTTTGAGAGTTGAACCCACCTCTGTAGTGGAAATAAAAGAGGAATCAATCCCCAGCTCCAGCAACCTTTTATTGTTTTTTTTTTTCTCTATTTTCATTGAGCGAGATTTTCTCATAGTATATATATTTTCTGAAATAAATATAAGGATTTAAGGTTGTTTATGACTGGACGGAAAGGGGCAAAAAATAAAATAAAAAATAACCCTGCATAAATGAGTTTAGATAACAACTTATAGTTGACCTTTCTCTTATATATATATATATATTTTTTTTTTGCAAATTACAATAATTGTTTTTGTGCTTATCTGAATAAAGCGCAAAGCTTTTGGTGATCCGCTAAGCACAAGCAAACTCAGGTTCCAACCTTGTCATTTCCACTTTCTTTTTTTCTTTTTTCTTTTTTGTAGATCCTATTTTCACTTTAAAAAGCAAAATGATATCCAGTTCTCTCTCTATGTTTATTTATTTATTTATAAATGGTATCCAGTTCTTGTTAATCAATCTTTCTTTTAACTTTTAACAAAGATAATATTATTATGTGAAGTGTGAATTGTGACGGAGGAAAGAAGAAAAAACAATCTGTCAAATAATCATCTAACTCTGCAAATAGTTTATATATTAATTTTTTTTTTAAGGAAATAATAGCAGATCAACCATACCTTTTACTGAAATTTTATAATTCAAGAAAAAAATAGGATTTGATTTGAACTCTCGAACATTTAACCATTCCATAAAAAAGTTTAAGCTGCTTGATAGCGATCTTATATTATTTTCTAAAAAAATTGATTTTATAAAATGATTATGTAAAATTGTCTCTATTTTTTTTATTAATTCCTATGTGCCACTCTTGTAATTCAATAAATAAATAAATAAATAAAAGAGTAGGAATTAGTTAGATATAAAAAAAAAAACAGTTGTTCTTAATGATTGAAGAACACTTTCTGTATAAAATTAAAAAAAAAATGATAGAAGCAAGAGAAAAAAATGACAATTAGTCATGGACCACAGATTTTCAATCAGCTACCATATTAGCCAATATTTATCTATGCCTCTAAACGTCATATATTGTCGGTAATATTGTTATTCTCGGAAAACTATATGTGAAATAAATTATAATGACTTTTTTTCACCTAGTTAAGTGTTATAATTAGTTTGCAACCCTTTCACTTTTTTCTTTTAGAATCAGTTCGTAGGATAATTTAGAGGAGTGGTAATTAATGTCACACGCCAACAAGTATTTAATCCAATGGTCGTCATTCCTGTACGTAAGATACAAAATACAGGTAGGTCTGGGATTTAAGTCCAAATTAAAAAGGAAAAAGAGCAGTGACAGATCTACTTAGATGTTGGAGCTGTCGTGCCATAATTAACATGCATGTTTTACTTCTGACCAAAATTTTAGCAACCGATTCAATAATCACTCATTAAAATGTTGATTGTTAAGACCATTATAACCTCTCCCGACGGTGTGTGTATATATATATATATATATTAATTTAAATGAAGATAATTTGAAGTTAATTATTTTGGCAGAAAATAGCTGCAAATGTTGCAAAGGACATGATTGATGAAGCAATTACCAAGAAGCTAGATGTAAAATCCCTATTGTCCTCTTCAAGTACAATTCGTCTTGCCGATTTAGGATGTGCAGTTGGTCCAAATACCTTTGATGCTATGCAAAATATTATAGATATAATTAAGCAGAAGTACCAATCCCAATTTCCTACTTCTCCAATTCCTGAATTTCAAGTATTTTTCAATGATCAACCAACAAATGATTTCAATACCCTCTTCAAGTCTCTTCCCCCCAAGAGAGAATACTTCGCAGCTGGTGTGCCAGGTTCTTTTTACGGACGTTTATTTCCCGATTCTTCTCTTCACGTTGTGTATTCCTCTTACTCACTCCATTGGCTCTCTAAGGTGCCAAAAGGTTTAGAAGACAAGAATTCTCCTGCATGGAACAAAGGGAAGATTCACTATGCAAGTGCCCCTGAAGAAGTACTAAGAGCGTATGCAACACAATGGGCTAATGATCTAAATGACTTCTTGAATGCTAGAGCTCAAGAGATTATGCCAGGAGGGATCATTGTAGTTATCACGCATAGTATCCCAGATGGGATGGAATATGCTGAGCTTGCAAATGGCATGATGTACAATTGTATGGCATCCATCCTTCTTGATATTGCGAAAAGAGTAAGTCAATTCAATCAATTTTTCTTTTCTCTTCTTTGATAAATCAAACTTGTATTAAAACAACAAAATTAAGGGAATAGATCATTAACAATCCACATGTAAGAACTGTAATAATCCATGCTTTTTTGTTCTTCCTGTTTGATAAATATGATCGAATTTTTGCCAACTATAAAAACAAAGTACATAAGCCTCAGAGAAGATGGCCAGCGAACCTTAGTCTTACAGAGAAAGAACAAACTTGTCAAAGCAGAAAAACTAGACAGCTGAAATAGAATATGAATGACATATATATAATTAATGATCCATGCTTACATAACTACTTCTGAAAAATTGAAGTATAGACTCTTATTTAATGAAGATAATAATTAATTAGTTATGTTATGTATAAACCATATAATGATCTATTTAGTTTTTGGAGTAATTAAGATGCATGTATCAAGTCAAGTTGATACGAAGGAAGAGCAAGTTTATAAATACCTTCATCAACTTGCCAACATTCATCCAACTTGGCCATTTGCCTATTTGCTCTACTTATTGCAGGGATTAATAAGTGAAGAACAAGTTGATGCCTTCAACTTGCCAACATATGCTCCTCCTCCTGCAGAGTTTGTATCCGTGGCAGAAAACAATGAGTGCTTCAACATTGTGACAATGGGAGAATCAAATCCATCGCCATGGCTAACAGATGATGTACACGTTGATATGAACGAATTTGTAAGCCACATAAGAGCTGCAATGGAAGGAATGTTCTTCAAACACTTTGCAAGAGAGATTGTTAACGAAATGTTCGAGCAGTTAGAGGTAAAACTTTCGGAGATTTCTGTGGAGATGGAATCAGCTTACAAGGACAAAATTCAAGCATATTATGTGTTACAACGCAATTATTCAGGTTGAGTTGAAATTTTCATAATAATGCATTCCTAAGGTTTTCTGTTAAATTGCGTAGTTAATTTGTTCTATTGCGAACTGTGCTCAAATGCATCTGCACGTAAACACTAGTGAAATAAGACCAAATGACCAATGGATGGCCAAGTTTCATTCGCGTGCTCGTGTAAGAAATGAATGTAAAATTGTTATTCAGCAGTTGGCAAATATTGATGTGTAAATCTGATGGCGTTCATATTGTTGTGTTGTTACATATCTTGAATTTGACTTCATATAATATTATTAGTATATTTTTTTATTTAATCCCATTTATTTTTCAGCTCATGACATATATATTTGTATCGGTTGTTATTGTACCTTGTCAATTTGAAAAATTAACTTAAAAAGTAAGTCTTTTTTTTTTTTTTCAAAATATCCCAGTTTCAAAATCCTATATAAAAAGTAAGGTTTTTTCTTATATTTAATCAAGCACCCAACACTTTCGCATCTGATGTGGGGATAGCATAAAAAGTATATTTTATTAGTGAATCCATAATATTCTGTCAATATCTATACAGAAATTGAAAAATAAAATTATTTTGAATTTCTAGTGGAATTACCAATAAAGTATTTTGCAAATGATAGTATCGAATTATTTATAAAAAAGATAAGAAAAGAAATTGTTTTCATTTTCCGATAGAAATTCACCGGCGAATATTTAATCAATATTTTTTGTCCGTAAGCACCATTGTTTTAGTAGTTTTTGGACACATTAATTCTCTATCGCTCAATTTGAAATGATCTTTAAGCCTTTAATTGTCAATAGAATTTACTTTACCTGTTCCCTAGGTAATTTGATATTTTGATCTGCAGTTAACACGGAGTGTGCAATTTGTTGTGTCCGTTTTGTTTTTCTAAATTCCTTCCTTTCCTTTTCCTTTGATTTAAACATTTGAATGACACCGATAGTTAGGAGGAATTAAATATTTATTAAAACTAATATAAAATTATTTTTTTATTTGAGTTTAAGTTTTTGGATTAGAAAAGTAGTAGATATGTGTAAAGTTTAAATAGTTTTTATTAGAGGGTATGTTAGAATTAATATAAAATCATTTTAATAGTTAAATTTTAAATTGAGATGATTCACATGTAGCATCGTTACTCGACGTTCAATGGAAATAAACCTAGTATTAAAAGTAACTACGAATCTAAAATGGATGGTAGTTTAGATATTCTAACATAAGAAATTGATTATGTCTTTTAAAATATATAAATCACCTAAATGCACATTTCTTAAAAAAAAGATACCACATATGGCTTTATCCTAAAGTTGATCTACTAAAAATATCTATTTTTGCTAAAATTAATCCTAAGTCAAAATTTCAAGTGTTATTTCTTAAGCCAAATTAATTTTATTTTTATTTTTTTTTGTAGTATCATATTGAATCAATCGTCGGACTCTGTTGTCGAAGTCTAGTCAATTTAACATTGGATCCAGTTTAAGTCTCGACATAATCGGTATGTCTAAGAATGACCTAATTATCAAAATATTATTGATTTGAACTAAAATAAATCCCTATTAGATATGGGAATTTGTTAATTTTTTCCTAATAATTTCTCCATTTTCTTTTGCTCTTTTCCTTTTTTCTTATGTCTTTTTCTATTCTTTTTTTCCCTAGTATTTTCTCTCTTTTTTAATCTTTTTTTATCGTATCTCTCTCTTATCTTTGTCTCTTTTTTTTATCATTTTCATTTTTTCTTTTATTTTTTTATTATTTTTTTTGTTGGTGGAAAGTTGTCATCGGTCCCTAAAAAATTAAGAAACTCGATGACTCGTCCGTCTATCAATTACCTAATTTAATTATCGAAAGAAAGTTTTTTAAAAAACTAAACATTGACGAAAATAAATAAATAGATATAAGGAACTTAAAAATTCCAAAAATATTAAATATAAAAATAGACATGTATGAAATTTTCAGATTTAATTTACTCGGGGCAATAACTACAAAAAAAAAAAAAAAACAAACAAAATGGGGTTATTAGGCCTATAGGCCTAGTGGGCTTTCGACCCATTGGGTCAAGCCTAGCCTAAGCTCGAACGGACGGGTCGGGCTGAAGCCTAGCCCTCTTAAACTCCATTTCCTAGCCTTTTGAACACTCTACCTAAATTAAACTCCAAATCCAGAATCAAAACCCAAAAACTTTCGTCTTTCTTAAATCGAACTACCTCATCTTCTTCCTTTCATGCTTGAACCATCATCTTCTTCTTCTCCATCCTAAGCCACCACTAAAAGAAAAGATCAATTCTCTTTTTATCTTTCTTTGACCCGAAACCCCGGATTATCTACCCTTCCCTAAGTCAAAACTATGAATGAATCGAAAAACACCAACACCCTCTCGTTCTTCCATCTTCTTCCCTTCGAGCGATATTAAAGCTCTCTCTCTCTCAAACCATCTCCTTTTCACCCTCACACTAATTGCAACCCTTAACAAATTTACCTAAATTCTTTTTCTTTCTTTTTAAATTGAAAACACTAGGTTTCTTTTACTTTCTTAATCGAACCCTAAAGCATAAAATCAAACCGACTAAGCCTAGAATCCAACCTTTTCAAGTCATCAAAACCATATTCTCTCCTTCATCTCACAAATTCAAAAGGCACAAGAAAATATTTTGAGTAGTGTGAGATTTTTCCCGAGGATAGTGATGAAATCACTATCATCAATTGTTTCTTTTTTGATCAAGTGAAGCTAATAAAAGTTGTAAATCAAGGAAGGAAATAATAGATTCTTACTCGGGTGGTCGATCGCAAAAGCCTAGTTGAGGATGACTGACCGACGAGTAGATGGTTGCAACTCCAAAAGGTGAAACGGTGTTCTTTCAAAACCTAGAAATTATAGAAGCTAATTTGTTGATATCGATCCTAAAATCACCTTCTTCTAAAAGCTTGATAAGAACTCTAAACCTCTAAACTCTTTAAACTTTGTTTATGTCTATTGTGCCTCTCCCAATTATTCCTCTCTCAATCATGTCTTTATTCTTCTATTGTTCTTCTCAATTATTTCTCTCTCAATTGCTCTCACATTTCCCACAGCTTCCCTCTCCGAAATTTCCTCTCCCAATTCCTCTATATTTTCTTTCTCTCGCTTTAAAACCCTAATTTTGACCTACCTTTATTTATACCCAAGAATCCTCCTTCTCTCTCATGGGATCAATTCCCTTAAGTCAAAAAATCTCCCCACAATAAAAAAAACTCTCCAATTTGTTGGTAGTTTTGGTTCCGTATAAATATAACTAAAATAATTATGCTTTATGTCTATTTATTGCGTTTTGCTTGTTTTGGTATTTTTGTTATGTAGGTCGATGCAAGTGTAAAAGCTAAAGATGCAAGTCTGTTTTTTCTAACTAGCCATTAACGAGAGATGGACAATGCCGGAGGGTGATGTGGTATAAGGTAGGCATGTCATGGTAGTGTTGAGAGTTTTTAGAGGACGAGTCGTGTAGGTTGATTCCAAATTAGTCTTATCGTTCATGTCTCATGTTAATTTAGGTCTTTGTAGGTTTAATTTTATTTTGATTGTGTCCTCCGGGTGAGTCATTGTAGTCTTTTTACTTTTAATTTTTTCAATTTGGTCCTTGTACCTTGTAATTTTAGTTCTAGGGTTTTCAATTGTTTTAATTATATCCTCAATTATTTTAATTTCAATTATTTTAATTGTATCCTCATTTTAATTTTAGTTTTGCTTTTTATTCAATCATGTCCCTAATCAATCTTGTAATTTTTTTATTTTGTATCTTTATATATTTATTTTGTATTTTTTATTCCTTTTTTCTTTTAGTAAATATCAAAATTAAAGAATAAATAAAATAAAAATAAGATAAAATAAATAAATAAAAATAAAAAATAGAATAAAAGGAATGAAGTTAGGGCAAATATGTAACCTAACATTTAGGTTATGACACACAAGATCCGTATAAAGTTTAAAGGAATTTCATTAAAGAAAATATATGTCACTACACGACATTTGCGAAACTTCTAAAATTTTGATGATTATTTATTAAAAATTTTATTTGTTTGAAGATATGAGTTATTTACTAATTTCGAAATCATCATCTAGTATTAAAAAAAATTAAAACCTAAAATTGACACTCGGTTCGGAGATTTTAGAGCAAAGAGTTGGTTATGCCTTTAAGAAGATATCAATCGCCCGAAGGCACCATTTCCAAATAAAGGTACCACGTGAGGTTTAATCCTAAAGTTTATCTCTTAAAAATTTCTATTTTTACCAAATTATTTCTCAAGTCAAAATTTCAAATTTATTATCTAAGCTATTTTTTTTTATATCATATTGAATCGATTGTTAGACCTCATCATCGGGAGTCTCATTAGTTAAATATCGGATCTAGTTTAAGTCTCGATATAATTGATATGTTGGAGAACGATCTAATTACTAAGAGGTGATTGGATTTAACATCAATCCCTATTGGATACGAGGCACATTAAAATTGCTTAAAATCCTTTTTTTTCTTTCCATGTTTTATTTTTGTTCTTTATATATATTTATATATTGGTTTGAATTAACATCAATCCCTGTTGGATAAGAGATTCATTAAAATTGCTTAAAACATTTTTTTTCTTTTCATGTTTTATTTTTGTTCTTTATATATATAACACCAATAGTTTTAAATAATTGTGAATTTGATATGCAGTTGATGCTTGCATTAAACTAACTCTAGTTGTGGACCTTATCAGCTTTTTAGCCTTTATTTTCACATATTGCCCTTACACGTTACACACACACACATACACACACACACCAATTGGTTTAAATAATTATCAAATTTGATATGTAGTTGATACTTGCATTAAACTAACTCTAGTTATGGACCTCATCGATTTTTTAACCCTTATTTTCATAGGTTGCCCTCATAAGTTACATCATCCACGACGTTTAAAAATTTTAATAACTAATTTTGATTTTGTTTTTCTTCTTCTTTTTTGGTAACTAGCCTTCTAGATGTCTTTTTCCTC